GTGTTGATTTCTGCTGTACTGCAGTGCAAATCAGTCACAACTACATGTATATATCCCCTCCTGCTTGAGGCTCCCTCCCACCCCCCATCTCACCCCTCTAGGTCATCACAGAGCACCAGTCTGGGCTCCCTGTTATATAGCAGCTTCTCACTAATTATCTGTTTTACTGATAGTGATGCTGAGAGCCTGGCCTCTGTGCACCAGTGCTGAATTGAACCTTGGAGACAGGGTCTTGGGTGAAGTAGAAAAGAATAGCTTTGTTGCTTTGCCAGGCAAAGGGGGCCATAGCAGGTTCCTGCCCTTGAAACTGTGTGTCCCAACCCAGGACAGTTTGGTAAGGAGTTTTATAGCGATGGTTCAAGGGTGTGGTTGCTGATAGGATTAGGGTGTGCAGGGTCTACATTCCTTTAGTCTGGTCTCAGGTAATCTTGAACCAGGACCCTGCCTGAAGGCTGCACTGTTGTTTCTGCTCTTCCCTTCAATAGCGTCTGGTTAGGAATGCTTGAATCCTTCTCCCTGAGACTCCCCACTACATACATGCATGGAGGAAAGTGCCAGCAAAGAGCAACTTTATTGTTAGTGGAGTTTTGCCTCAGATCGCCAAGTAGAGCTCATGAGGCCCTTGGGGACTCCTTTCTTTCTATTGAGGTAGGCCTCAGTTAGTCAGTTCAGTTGCTCAGTCGTGTCTGACTCTTTGTGACCCCATGGAATGCAGCACGCCAGGCTTGCCTGCCCATCACCAGCTCCCAGAGCTTGCTCAAACTCATGTCCATCGAGTCAGTGATGCCATCCTCACTGTTGTCCCCTTCTCCTTCCACCTTCAATCTTTCCCAGCATCAGGGTCTTTTCCAATGAGTCAGTTCTTCACATCAGGTGGCGAAAGTATTGGAGTTTTCAGCTTCAGCATGAGTTAGGCCTAAGGGCAGTCAAAACATCCTCAAAGCTAATTCTTGGCTCCTGTAAGGTCAACATATCAGGGAACCCAGAAGGGAGCACAGGTACCAAGAGGAGAGAGAGACCTGGCCTCAGGACTTGGAGTGGAGTTGGTCCAGGCCACTCACTCATGCCCATCCTTCTTAGGGTGAGACCATGGGACTGGGACCCAGCCGCCTCTTGGAGAGGAGGGAGCTACAGGTGAGAAAGAGAAAGCCACGCCCACCTGTAAGTGGGCGTGGCTTTAAGGCCTCTGAAAGCTCCACCCACTGAGGCTGGACCAGTCAGCGTCCTGGAATTTGACAAACCAGACTGGCTCTGGTCTTCCTTAGAAGCCCAGGTGGCACAGTGGTAAAGAATCCACCTGCCAGTGCAGGAGACACAGGAGACCCGGGTTCGATCCCTAGATCCGGAAGATCCCCTGGAGTAGGAAATGGCAACTTGCTCCAGTACTCTTGCCTGGAAAATTCCATAGACAGAGGAGCCTGGCCGGCTACAGTCTATGGAGTTGCAAAGAGTTGAGCCAACGAGGGGAGTGAGAGAAGCCTTGAGCTCCCCCTTCAGGGCAATACGGGTCATGAACAGGTGGGTTTGAGGTACTCATTTCTCACCTCTTAAGGTGGATTCACATGAGGCAGGCAGCGGGAAGCATTTTATGGCACAGAGCCCTGGGACTGTTTTCAGGAACCTGATTTTTTTTTTTTTTTTTTTTAGTCTCGTTGCCCAAGGATGGATATATGGCTGGTTAAGCCATCGACTGGGAGCCTGTAGTTTTTGCTTTGTGATTTCCAAGCCCTGATGTTGTTACTGGGGTAGCAGGTCAGTCCTCAAGCAGGAGAGGTGACAGCTGGGGTCCTTCTGAATCCTGGAGCTCTGCAGGCCCCACCGCCAGAGCAGAGCTGACCCTGCCTCTTTACCTGGGCTGTTCAGGGCTGTGCAAGGGTCATCCCCTCACCCGTTTGACCTGACCGCAGAGGCTTGGAAAATCGGGAGAGAAACATTGTAGCTCATTAAGAAGATGCAGGCCAACAAAAGCCTTCAGGGATGGAGGATATTTTAGGCAGACTTGTTGAAATAGAGTTTTCATGCAGCAAAATTCACTTTTTAAAAGATACATACAGTAAAACTCACATGGTTGATAATATAGCTCATTCCAGTCACCCCATAAAAGTTCCCACATTCTGTCCCTTTGTTATCAATTTCCTTTTCTCCTCTGATGCTTCTTAACCACCCATCTGTTTTCTGTCCTCATAGTTATGCTTTTTCTTTTCTTTTCTTTTTAGTTTTGCCTTTTCTAGAATGTCATTTAAACAGAATTAAACAGCATGTATATGACATCGTTATCTTACCCTAATGCTTTTGAGATTCAGAAAGGTTACCTGTATCATTCCTTCTTACTGCTGAGAAGTATTCAATTGTGTGGCTACACCACACGTTGTTTATCGATTCACATGTTAAATGTTTAGTGCTTAGGTTGTTTTCAGACTTTGGATATTATAAATAAGACAATTTTAAACTTTCAGGTTTTTCTGTAGATTCATGTATTCATTTCACACCTAGGAGTGGGAATACTGCATCACATATGATAAGGGGATGTTTACCTTCATAAGAAACTGCCATGCTACTTTCCAAAGTGACTGTACCATTTTGCATCCCCCCAATATTGTCAGAGAGTGCCAATTGTGTTCTCTCCACATCAGCACTTGGTATTGTCACTATCAGTTTTCTAAAATGTTAGCCATCCTAAAAGGTATAAAGATTATTTTTACATTTTGAAAATAACAGTTTCCTAAGGAGAAATGCTCATTATTTTTATAGCACATAATATAATTTCTACTTATTGTGTCTGTTTCCTTATTTGTTCATTTTCTGTCTCTATTAGAATGTATTTTGGAAAGGCACTTGCATCAATAAATATATGTGAACAGATGAATGAATGGATTAGGGAAGAGATGGGTAGCTTATGACAAAGGCTAGAATGTCAGGTCAGCCTGGGTTGGAACCTGGGGCCCTTGTCTTCTCTTCTGCAATATACTCTTTCATTGGAGGAAGCAACTTGCAGGCTGGGTTGGGAAAGAGAAGAAGAAATTTTTTTTTTAATTAGAGCATCTCTTGAAGGAGACAGACATCATGTGGAGCCAGAGTCATGAAGGGCATAGCATGTTTGGGAGTATGAACCAGTCCTGTGTATGGAAACCGTAGTGTGTGTTGGAGGCATCGTTGGGATCACATGGGAGATATAATAATAATGCAAAAGCTTTCACTGCTTACTGTGTGCCAGGCGGTTCTAAGATCTCTCCATAGGTTAATTCATTTATTATTCCCAATGATCCTGTAAGCTTACAGCATTATCAGTTTCTTCACTGTCCAGACAAGGGAAGTGAAGCACAAAGAAATTAAATACCTTGCTTAAAATTATGCATCTAAGAAGAACCCAGGCAGTTTATGATCCTCAGTCTGTACCTTTAACTTCTGCACTACACTGCCAGGTTAGGAAGGGTACATTAGTTAGTTAGGGAACCATGTAAGCCGCTGTAACAAATAACCCCCAAATACAGTGACTGGAATAAGATAGAAGGTAGGTTTTCTCTCAGATGTCTGTCTAAAGACACAAAATGCAGGGCTAGTGGGTCCAAGGTGGTCACTTCCACTTCTCACCATCTTCCAGCCAGTGGGAATGGAAGAAGGGGCCTGGGAGGCTGTACCATGCAGGGTGCTAAGTCACTTCAGTTGTGTCTGACTCTTTGCAACCCTATGCATGGTAGCCCATCAGGCTCCTCTGTCATGGGATTCTCCAGGCAGGAATACTGGAGTGGGTTGCCATGCCCTCTTTCAGGGGATCTTCCTGACCCAGGGATCAAACCCACATCTCTTACATCTCCTACATTGGCAGGTGGGTTCTTTACCAGTAGCGCCACCTGAGAATCCTGGGAGGATGTATGTGCTTAGTCGTTCCAGTCGTGTCTGACTCTTTGTGACACCATGGACTGTAGCCCGCCAGGCTTCTCTGTCCATGGGATTCTCCAGGCAAGAATACTGGAGTGGGTTGCCATTCCCTTCTCCAGAGAATCTTCCCAACCCAGGGATCGAACCCAGGTCTCCCATGTTGCAGACAGATTCTTTACCATCTGAGCCACCAGGGAAGCCTGGAAGGATGTACACCTTCCTTTTACAGGAATGACTGAAACATATACATCACATTGGTGGGAACTCAATCACATGGACATACCAAGTTGCAAGGGAGGCTGGGAAATGTGGGCTATAGTTGGATAGCCATGCGCTCTGCTGCAACTCAAGGGTTCTCTTATTGAAAGGAAGACTGGGTATTGGTGGAAAACTAGTAGTCCCTGACACAATCTGCAGACTATTCACTGGACTTTGAACTCTGTCCTGTAGATGATGGTGGTGGTGGTTTAGTTGCCAAGTCATGTTCGACTCTTGCAACCCCATGGACTGTAGCCCGCCAGGCTCCTCTGTCCATGGGATTCTCCAGGCAAGAATACTGGAGTGGGTTGCCATTTCCTTCTCCAGGGGGTCTTCCCGACCCAGGAATTGAACCTGGGTCTCCTGCATTGTAGGCAGATTCTTTACCAACTGAGCTACAAGGGAAGACTAGATGATGAGGTCCTAGCAAATGGCCTCTAAGTGGGGAGGTTTCAGGCCTTGGGTTTTAGATCATCTGGAAGTTGCTTGGAAGATAAAGGAGAGAGGAGTAGACAAGGGGACCAACCCTTCTACTTCATGCATCTGGAGTTTTGTTTGCTGTCTCTGCAGCTCTTGCTGCCGGCAGGAGTCAGTAGGTTGGATTCCCTGATGGAGTGCTTCCAGGCACGGTGAGTGTGTGTGCTGGGGTGAGAATGGGAGCCATCAGCTATCTTAGTCATTCAGTGACTGCTTATCAAGCATGGTGTTTGGGTACAGTGCGCCTGTGATGGCCCCAGCAGGTGTGATGGATGCTGGGGGCCAAGTTCCATTCTCAGTGAGCTCTCCAGTGATGCTAATTGCAGTGTGAAACCTTGGTGTGCCTCACTGACGCTGGCCTCTTTTGTTGTTTCTTTGGCTCTCAGGACCCTCGGAGCAAACACAAATTCAAGATCCACACATACTCCAGCCCCACGTTTTGTGACCACTGTGGGTCACTGCTCTATGGACTTATCCACCAGGGGATGAAATGTGACAGTAAGTACATGTGCCCTCGGGCAGCCTCTGTTGCCTGGGCTGCTTCCTCATGGTTTGGGGCCCGAGTCTGCAGCACATGCTCCCAAGTCCTGGGTGGGCTGAGTACCCCTTGCGTGATGCTGAGTAACAATAACCAACAATAACCATTTATTTAGGGTACAATTCAAGGCTGTCCTTTGGGCCTGGATTGGCCTTGCTCATACCTGTGTGGTGGGTTAGCAAGTTGGTGCTGACGCAGGACCCTGAACTTGGGCACGCAGGTTCCAGGGGGCTTTCCATCCTTTCGCCATCCTTCTCTCCCTACAACTCATTTCCAGTTTTTTAATCTGCCTGCTGCCTCCTGGAGGTTGGGTGGGCTGAGAAGGGATGCCCTCACCACCTCTGTCCCTCCAATGCCGTGCCCCCAGCTCCCATGGAGTCCCCTGAAATGACCCGTGGGGTGACCCAGCCTCTCCTGACTTCTCAGAATGATACAAGGGACCCCTAGTGGACATGGGACTCCAGGCATGGCCTGGAGCAGCCATGGGGCTTAGGGGAAACCAGCCACCCATTGAAAGAAGCACAGAGGTGCTCCGGAAGTGTGGGCAGGGAGCCAGTATTTATCACATCACACAGGAGACTTCAGCCAGTCAGATTCAGTTTGCAGACGTATTCCATTCATCTTGCCCTGCTGGGTCTTAAATTTTTTTCTTGCAGTTAGTTACGGTGGGTACTGTGGGGGTTCAGTTCAGGTTCCAAGATGATGCCCCTCCCAGGGCTGGTTCATGACCACAGACTGGCACGTGCAGGGCAAAGGCCTGGCCCTCTTGCGTCAATCTGGGACAACACCAAAGCTCATCTGAGCCCCCGAGTCCCTCCTGTCAGCCTCAGGGCATCCTCATGGGCCAGCTCCTTCTCCCCCACAGAGCCCCTCACTGTCAGCCTGCTCACAACTCCCATTCTCAGGCTCTTTCCCGGGAAGCAGCCTATCATCAATATTTAAAAATAGGGAGAGGTCAGGATTCCTGCTTAATCCTGAAAAATGGGAAAATCTTGGCAACTTTGGGCGGGCACCCTGCGCTGCTGTGCCCTCAAGTGGGAGTGGCTGTGCTCTCGGGTTGGCCAAGACCACCACCCCCGCACCTTCCCTCACTATTTTAGACACCCCCGTGTCACTGGAGTTGGTGACTGGCCTCACAGCTGTTGCGGGTGTCCCGGGTACCCCAACCTTCTGGGGAGGACAGACACCTTCCGCCTCCTCTGTCCATGAGGGCCTGGGGTGTCGGGGGTTGGGAGCGGGGAAGTTGGAGAAGCAAGCCCTTCGGATGAGACCCGGGCAGGGCAGGCTAGTCTCCCCCCGCCTCGGAGGGAAGGAGGGGAACCGGAGGGGTCCAGCCTGCACCAGCCTGAGCCGCGCGCCCTGCCTCTGTCCCCGCAGCCTGCATGATGAACGTCCACAAGCGCTGCGTGATGAACGTCCCCAGCCTCTGCGGCACGGACCACACGGAGCGCCGCGGCCGCATCTACATCCAAGCCCACATCGAGAGGGAGGTCCTCATTGTTGTCGGTAGGTGGCGCTAGGGCCCCCGCGCCGGCTCCGCGGGACCCGGACCCGGCTGGAGCGCTGAGTCAGGGCAGCGAGGGATGGGACGGGCGGCGCGGGGGCGCGGCGGGAGGTGCGGCGATGCGGCCTTCCTCCTCGACCCCCGCTCCCACCCCCACCCCATTCCAGCCTCTCCCCGCCGTAGGCATCCTTAGAAACTGCACCCCGCAGGGCGAGGCTCTCAGCACCTCCTGTGCGCTGGAGCTCAGAGCTGGAGCCGCCGCGGGAGTACGTTGGTTTTCTCCAAGACCTCAGAGTTGTTGTCACGAGCCAGTAAAGCAGACAAGATGCTGAACACCTTAATTTTATGGCAGGCTCTGGCCGGTGGACTAAACCTACTCTGAAGCCAGACACTGTAGCTAATAACGGTGAAAATAATTCAAATTTAGATTATTTCTGTTGCCTTCTTAATTTTCATTTATTTCTACCCTGCAGATCTATTATTTCTAGATTTTTGTATAACATAATGATGGGCAGTGCAATTGGTTTATCTCTTCCATGGGGGGCGGAAAAAAGGTTTCCAACTTCTTTATTGTTCCCCACCTCCTTTTGCTGGCCACCACCCCCGGCCTCTCTCTTCCAGTCCTTATCTTTGGAGTGTGCAGTTCTGTCTCCTTTATTACCATAGCAGAGAACGGATGTTTGGTTCTTTCCCGAACTTTTCCAGTGGGAAAATAGAGTCTTGCTGATAAACACCCAGTTTGGGAGAGTGTTACCTCTTGGGGAAGAGAAGAGATGCAGTATTCATCCCTGGGGCTTTCTGGGTATTGGCAGTGTTTCTTTCTTAAACCTGATGGTTACTGCTCTGGTTCTGTTCTGTTATTCTCCATACTTGTTGCAATTCTAAAATACTTCATGCTACAATATAAGAAAGAGGGATAATAAAGCCTGTTGAAGAGGTGCAGCATGGTGTCTGGCCCTCCTAATGGAGCATTCAGGAAATATGGGGCTCAGACACATCCAGCTCAAACAGAATGAAAATGCAGCTGGCTGGATGGGTAACTTAGCCACGTGTGTTACGTGGGTGTGCTAAGTTGCTTCAGTTGTGCCTGACTCTTTGCAACCCATGGACTGTCGCCAGCCAGGCCCCTGTGTCCTTGGGATTTCCCAGGCAAGCATACTGGAGTGAGTTGCATGCCCTTCTCCAGGGGATCTTCCCGACTCAGGGGTTGAATCTACGTCTCCTGCGCCTCCTGTATTGCAGGCAGATTCTTTACCTCTGAGCCACTGGAGCAGCCCAACCTAGCCATGAAGCTGTGATAAATCCAATACTAAACTGGGCCATAATGGGACTTTGAAGGAATTCTCTCCCCAAGGCTTGTGTCAAACTTCTTAGACTTCATCACTAATTAATTTAAACAAGGATTTATGACTTAGTATCTTAGGAGACTGATCATAGAAGGGATTGATTTTGCAAAAATTGATCTCAGGGTCCAGAATGGTTCAGCTGCTCTGAAGAATTGTGCCTATACCACGTAAAAGTTGAAAAATACTCCTGTAAAATATAAACAGCTTTAAAGTGAGGTTCCTGACACCCAGTGGGCTTTTAAGGAATATGTATTTCATTTGATATGCTTTTTCCTCTGAAAGGAAGGTGAGCGGCTGACTGTCCTAGTGAAATGCCTGAGGGTCCCCAAGGAGTAGAATGTCTCTTAGTAGTAGGCTTCCTTGGTGACTCAGATGGTAAAGAATCTGCCTGCAATGCGGGAGACAGGTGTTTGATCCCTGGGTTGGGACGATCCCCTGGAAAAGGAAATGGCAACCCAATCCAGTATTCTTGCCAGGAGAATTCCATGGACAAAGGAGCCTGACAGGCTACAGTCCATGGGGTTGCAGAGTCAGACACGACCAAGTAACTATCACTCACTCAAGGAGTATAAGCCTCAAGAAAAGCTGAATTCCCCGTCTATAAACTTCCTGGGCAGACGGGGCAAAAATGAGACTATGCTGCCCTCTACTGTGATTTTCTAGGAACTACATTGGCTCATATGTTACTATGGACAGCCCCATCTTTTTTTTTTTTTTTTTCCATTTAATTTTTATTAGTTGGAGGCTAGTTACTTTACATCATTGCAGTGGTTTTTGTCATACATTGAAATGAATTAGCCATGGATTTACATGTATTCCCCATCCCGGTCCCCCCTCCCACCTCCCTCTCCACCCGATCCCTCTGGGTCTTCCCAGTGCACCAGGCCCGAGCACTTGTCTCATGCACCCAACCTGGGCTGGTGATCTGTTTCACCCTAGATAATATACGTGTTTCGATGCTGTTCTCTTGAAACATCCCACCCTCGCCTTCACCCAGAGTCCACAAGTCTGTTCTATACATCTGAGTCTCTTTTTCTGTTTTGCATATAGGGTTATCATTACCATCTTTCTAAATTCCATATATATGTGTTAGTATACTGTAATGTTCTTTATCTTTCTGGCTTACCTCGCTCTGTATAATGGGCTCCAGTTTCATCCATCTCATTAGAACTGATTCAAATGAATTCTTTTTAATGGCTGAGTAATATTCCATGGTGTATATGTACCACAGCTTCCTCATCCATTCGTCTGTGGACAGCCCCATCTTTAACCAACCTGTTGAACACACAGTACTTAAAACCAAAGCATATCATAATGCCCTCAAGATCCATCCATTGTTCCCACCATAAAAAAATAAGTAATTATGTGACATTATATAGGCCTTAACTAATGCAGGGATGTAATCATATTGCATTATACAAATGCATCAAATCAATACATTGTATACTGTTGACTTACACACCACTGTGCTCAGTCACATCCAACTCTTTGAGGCTCCACGAACTGTAGCCCACCAGGCTCCTCTGTCCGTGGAATTCTCCAGGCAAGAATACTGGAGTGGGTATCCATTTCCTTCTCCAGGAGATCTTCCCAACCCAGGGATTGAACCCAGGTCTCCCGCTTTGCAGGTGGATTCTTTACCACCAGGGAAGGTGCTAATCTAGTATGACTTCGTCTTAACTTGATTGCATCTGCAAAGCCCTTATCTCCAAACAGGGTCACATTCAGATTAGTCTTGAGCATCTCTTTTAGGGGGATGCAATTCAGTCTATAACAAGGGGAAAGGAAGTGGGGGCTCCCTTAAAGTTAGGGACTGAATATCTGCATACTCAGGGTTCTGCTAGCACTAACTGAGTAGCTCCCAGTGTATTAATAGCGGTTTGTGATTTTCCAAGTGATTTGATAATGGGGTCATCCGATGGAGGTAGTGGGGTTGCCAACATACAGACAAGGAAACTAAGACGACTTACCTGATGTCACGTGCAGAGCAGGGATGAGCACCCAGCCTCCTGCCTGCAGGTCACTGTGCTCCGCTAGGACCAGCTCACCATGCCCGGCGTGGTCCGAACCTGGCCTGAGACAGCTGATTGATTGATGGTAGAAGAACCTGATGCTTTGACTGCAGTTCTCTAAATATAGACCTGAGTTGAAGATTTTTGTTCATATGATTTATTGGAGCTGCTCAGGAAATGAGGAGTGAGGATGGAGCAGGGAAATGCTGAATGAGAGTGTGATCTCCGCTGAAGACCAGCTTCAGGCAGACCCCGTGGAGTTCGGGAACACGCGTGACAGTGCAGGGTCAGCCCCTCCTAGAGGCTGGAGGGCTTTTCTGAATTGTGTCCCCTTAAAATTCACATGTGGAAGCCCTAACCCAGTGAAATGGTGTTTGAAGTTGGAGTCTTTGGGAGACAATTAGGGTTAGATGAAGGTGGGCCCTTGTGAGGGGCTTGGTGGCTTTATGGCCACAGGAGGGCACGAATCAAAGAGGTGACCACCTGCAAGCCCGGAAGGGGGCTGTCACCACGACTTGCACCTTGATGTCGGACTTCTTGCCTCCGGAGCTGTGAGAAATAAGCATCTGCCATTTAAGCCGCCCAGTCGGTGGTATTTTACTACAGGCTGGGCTGACGGAGACCTCGCTCCTGGCTACTGGGATTCAAAGCAGGAGGGAGGTGCTGCCTCCCAGGCCCTGTGGATTCTGTGTGGCTGAGGGCAGCTCTCTGGACACGGGGCAGCTCTGAGCCACTAACAGCCAACACTCAACTGCAGCTGGGAGCTGGGCGCAGTGGCCAGCGTGGAGGGGACCTGGGAGGGGTCCGGGTCACCTGGGTATCCCTCTGATCTCCCCAACATCCTTCTGATGTCATTGTTGGGACTCCAGGCCCTGCTCCTTGATCTCAGGCAGACGGATCAGTCATCTGCTCTGAATGTCACATGCTCTTTGAAATCCCGCCATCTCCAGAGACAGAAGGCTACACGTGCCTCCAAAAGATATGAGGGTTCCCTCATCTCCTTTGGCTCCTGAAATCCAGGCTTCGTATCTGCCGTCAAGAATCTTGCAGGGCAAAGCTCAGAGTGGGAATCCGATCAGTTCTCTTTCTTTGAAAAGCTCATCAGTGGTGTCTCGTTGCCCCTGTGTGTGTATTAGTCGCTCAGTTGTATCCAACTCTGCGACCCCATGGACTGTGTAGCCCACCAGGCTCCTCTGTCCATTGAGTTCTCCAAGCAAGCATACTGGAGTGGGTTGCCATGCTCTCCTCCAGGGTGTCTTCCTGACCCAGGGATCGAACCTGGGTCTTCCACATTCCAGATGGATTCTTTACCGTCTGGGCCACCAGGGAAGCCCCCTCATTTCTCTTAGGGCAGACGAAATGTACGGTGGTGATCTCATCGTCTATCCTGTCTTTTAATCCTTCATCCTCTCCTGGCCACCACCCACCATCGGACATCTGCACACTCTGCTCCCTCGGTCTGGAGTGTTTGCCCTTTTGTCTTCTTCCAGCAGGTTGCTCTTCCCCTTCCTGTAGGTCTCAGCTCTGTCTCACAGACAAGGACACTTCCCTGGATCTCCACTTGTTGTAGACGTTCTCTGTATCCTGAACTTGAACTTGTGTCAGTTGTGGTTTTATGTTGGGTTGATTAGTGTCTGCTTCTCC